AAAATCAAGAACAAGACAAGAGGGTCCACTGTCACCACTTTTGTTCATTATGGTTTTGGAAACAGCCACAGCAACTAGACAAGAGAAAGAAACAAAAGCAATAATGATAGGAAAAGAAGAAGTTAAGTTGTCATTATTTGCTGATGATATGATACTCTACATAGAAGACCCAAATAACTCTGCCAAAAGACTTCTAGACTTAGTTGACAGATTCCGTAAAGTAGCTAGATACAAGGTAAACACTTAGAAATCAATAGCTTTCTTGAACACAAATAACAGACTCACTGAGAGTGAAATTGGGGAAACAATACCTTTCACAATAGCATAAAAAAAAGGAAGAAGAACTATCTAGGAATCAATCTAACAAAAGAAGCAAAAGATCTCCACATTAAGAACTACAATACTCTGAAAAAAGAGATCAAAGAGGATATAAGAAAATGGAAAGACATCCCTTGTTCCTGGGTAGGAAGAACCAATATAGTGAAAATGACCATACTTCCAAAACTGCTATAAAGATTCAATGCAATCCCTATTGAAATCCCAACAGTATATTTCACAGAACTAGAGAAAACAATCCAAAAATTCATTTGGATCAGAAGAGACCTAGAATAGCAAAAGCAATTCTAGGCAACATGGACATGGCAGGGGGTATCATAACCTCCAATTTGAAACTATACTACAAAGCCACTGTGATAAAAATAGCATGGTACTGGCAAAGAAACAGACCTGAGGATCAGTGGAACAGTTTAGAAGATGCAGAAACAACTCCTGACATACTCAGCTACCTCATCTTTGACAAAGGAGCTAACTATCCTCAGTGGAGGGACAGATAGCCTCTTTAATAAATGGTGTTGGAAAAACTAGATTTCAACCTGTCAAAGATTAAAACTAGACCTGTATCTTTCACCATGCACTAAACTAAAATCGAAGTGGATTAAAGATATAAATATTAAAACAGAAACACTAAACTTGCTGGTAGATAAGTTAGAAAGAACTCTCAAAGACAATAGCATAAGAAAAGACTTTATGAACAAATCCTCAGTAGTACAGGAACTAGCAAAAAGAATCAGCAACTGGGATCTCACCTTTTTAAAAAGCTTCTGCACTGCCAGAGAGATCACAAGCAAAGCTAAGAGACAACCCACAATGTGGGAAAAATTTTACCAGCTGATCCTCAGACAAAGCTCTGCTACCTAGAATAATATATAAAGAACTCAAAAAATTCAGACCCTCAAACATAAAGACCCAATTCAAATATGGGCATATGAAATGAACAGAAATTTCTCAGACAAAGAAGTGAAAGCAGCAAATAACGATATGAAAAGATATTCAACCTCGTTGGCCATTTGAGATGTGCAGATGAAAACAACACTGAGATTCCATCTCACCCCACTAACAATGGCTGCTATCAAGAAATCAATCATTAACAAATGCTGGAAGGGTTGTGGGGAGATAGGAACCATTCTTCATTGTTGGTAGGAGTGCAGACTGGTGCAACTACTGTGAAAATCAATATGGAGATACTTCACACAACTAGAATTAGAAGTCCACTTTGACCCATCTATTCCTCTGCTGGGTATATTCCTAAAAGAATTAAAAGAGTCATACCACAGCAATATATACTCACCTATGTTTATAGCGGTACAGTTTGTAATAGCTAAAATTTGAAAATAGCCCAATTTCTCATCAACTGGAGACTGGATAAAGAAGATGTGTGTGTGTGTGTGTGTGTGTGTGTGTGTGTGTGTGTTTTAAATAAAATGGGGTACTACTCTGCCATAAAGAATGTGAAACTAGAGATATTTATAGCTAGGTGGATGAACATACTCTTATGTGAAATTAATGTCACACGTGTAAATACCAAATAGTTTCTCTGGTATACCAAACTAAAAGTGTAGATAAGGATCAAGATATATAATTGATATTGTGTAATTGGAAAAAGAAAGGTCTAAAAGTGTAGAGAAAGTGGGAGGGGTAGAGGAAAGGTAAAGAGAGACAAGAAAAAATATGTGAAAAAGAAAAACATGGAAACAATGTCTTTGAAAACAGGGAAGGGTGGAGGGTGTGATGGGAGGGATAGGAAATGGGGAAAAATAAGAATCAAGATAAGTCAGGTAAAGGTACAAGATTCCAATGATGAATGTAACTGTATACCTAAAATGTACCAATCAAGGTAATAAAGATAAAAAATTGAAGGTTTATTTCTGGTCTCTTGATTTTCTTTCATTGATCTATTCACAGCCTCTCTGTGGCTTCAGGGTAAAAAGTGGGAAGGAGAATATGGCAGAGTTTGTGGATAGCCTTGCCCAGAGTATGGACATGATGCTAACCAGAAATGTTGTTAATTAGACCATTGCAACATCCTCTCCACATGCAGGAGTGTGTGTGTGTGTGTGTGTGTGTGTGTGTGTGTGTGTGTGTATGTGTTCCATCTTTCACCTCCATATGCCCTTCTTCCCACCTTGGCTCTAAGGCCTGGTGACTGTTCTTGCTGCTCTCTGCCTCTTTCACTATATCACCTCAGTGATTCACTGTCTTACTGAGGTGGCAAGTTGAAGTTGGCTATGATTTTGTTTTTGGCAGTTTCCCCAGACTATACAATCACTGCCTATGTCAAGTGCACTCCAAATTGGAAGGTGACAGTGAGAATTCTCAGGCTTCTCTTCACCTAGTCAATGTCCTCTTGGAATGCAATGAAGCTGCTATACCAACATCTTACATCTTCCTCCTCTGCCATCAGTTTTGGAAGCTGGTGTTCTGGGTTCAAGAAAGTCAGTGATGGGAATACATATCACCATTACATTTGCCATCACGGTGCAGGTGCTCCCTGGATAAATCTAGGATTATAGAAGGGAACTTGACTAGCAGAATGGTTGACAGCAATGACTTTTAGTTACTCTATCATAACCTGAAACCATTTTGCTTAGATTAAAATTCAGATTCTAGACATAGTATCTCATAAAATGATTTGATTGCATAAATTTATGCCGGTCTGAGAAAGGACTCATGAGTCTGTAGAGTGGAACATAGACAAAGCAATCTTGGATATTTATCAGACCATATTTTAAGCTTTTGTGGCCATGGTAGCCAGAAAGTGCATTTTTGGGAGAACATTTTTGGGGAGCAGCAGATGTGTAGCCGTGAGCTACTATGGAGGTGGATGCCTGTTGCTTTTGGTTGCCTGGTCCTTTTCCTTGTAGTCTGGAAATGTAACTTGATGTTCTTGACAAGAGGATCAGTATATGACCCAAGCCAGGGCAATCAGTCTGTGAGTTTTCAAATGGGAGCTGGGGAGAGAAGCCTGTTTTTCTCAGTGTCAGGGTGTTGTGACGACACAAGCCATGAACCATGTGGGAAGTGACAGGAAGGAAATGTAACAAACTAAGGAGCCATGAAAGGAAGTGAGAGCAGAGGGTTCTGGCCATGTCTGAAGCCGATGCCTTCCCTGCCCCTTTCATGACTTGGCTATTGAGCTGATGTGCTGTGCTCTGACTAATGAAAATTTGAGCTATTCTTAGGGACAGATATGGGAAAGGTTGGGTAATTGCAATCACATCTATTACTTTGCCCCACCCCTTTGATTCCTGGATAATTTGTCATTGCCTCGTCATGGAAGATTTTAGAGGTAATTCTGTGAAATAAAATTTCAGTGTGACCCAATTGCTGTAGTGAGATGGTGTCCACTTTTAATTTTTAGTATTTGATGATTAATAAAGTAGGTGCCTGAATCAGAGGGCAGAAGAAGGGGAGATTCACCCTCAATGTCCTTGCAGAGAAGACTGGTCCTCAAAGTGTGTGATGTGAATGTGGTATCAGGGTGCTTTGCATAGGGAGAGCTATGACAGAGCTCTGCTCCTGCCTAAAGCCATTCAGAGGACACAAGCCATTCCTGGTGCTCATCATTGGCTTAAGGATCCCTCTGGCCCTCTAATCCTTGGTCACCTTGCTTGTCCCTCCTTGGCATGTACATCTATACTTGGTGTAACCTGAAATCTTAAACCTTGAGGTCAGAAACAGAACTCATTTGTTGGGAAGTCATCAACAGCAACACAAGTCATGTGACCTGGGAGGGAGATGTGAGATGGTGCCGCATCTTTTCTTTTTTTTTTTTTTTTTTTTTTTTGTACTGGGAATTGAACTCAGGTCCTTGTGCTTGTAAGGCAGGCAGTGGCACATCTTGATCAGTGTCTTTTACCTAGAGGGCATCTGGAAGCTTAGTCCCATTTCCTGACTCAGGATTTCCAATAGGTGGGCTGGAAGTCTGCAAGGAACCGTCATTATTGTAGGACAATGGGGTTTTACACAGCCTCTCTTCTTCATTTGAGTGCATCACTACCATATCCCCATTATTAAAACATGCATTACCCCTTAATAACCATTATATTTTAATTTCCTTACTATTTAATTTTATGTATGTTTGTGTGTGTGTGTGTGTGTGTGTGTGTGTGTGACTAGTATAGTTAGAAACAATGGAGTTGAAGGAGTCACTTCCACCACCCATTTAATTCTAAATAGCACTGTGTGGTTATTCCTGCTTCCATTGTCTTAAAATTGCAAAATGTAAGAGGTCAAAGAGACCAATGAGTGAAACAGGAAGATTTATTTAGGTGCACACTGGCCCAGCAGACTCATATTCAAAGGCTGAGCCCTGAACAAAGAAAGGAGCTCTAGTTCTATATGTGTGGTTGAAGGGGTTGGTATACCTAGTGGTGCAAAACTGGTGGGTGGACAAGTGGACTTCCAGAAGCAGGAGAAAGGCAGTTAATCAAGTAGTGACTGTTGTGCAACTTAGCATTTCTTGGTGGGGAAAAAGAGGCTCTTACAGAAGCAGGGGTCATAAAATCTTACAGGAACAAAGTTAACAGCAGCCATAGGGAGGGAGCAAGTCTGAGGGGGAACTGCTTAAGGTTGGGGAGAGATTTCCTTTCTTTCTTTCTTTCTTTCTTTCTTTCTTTCTTTCTTTCTTTCTTTCTTTCTTTCTTTCTTTCTTTCTTTCTTTTTCTTCTTTCTTTCTTTCTCTTTCTATATGCTTCACTAGGAGAGGTAGAAAACAAAATAATAAGAACTCAAGAGATCTCTGATTCTCTAGGCTCTTGCCTAGAGCACATGTGTGTTGGATCCCCTAGCCTGACCTTCAGTCACCTTCACCCACTCCCACTTCACTACAGGCTCATAAATATGTGCCACATAGCACACATGTAATTAAAGTCAGAGTGAGTTCTGGGACAGCATGTGTGCTGAGAGCCTCTAGGGTGAAACTGTACCCTGTCAGTCATGCCTGTCAGTCACACCCAGAGACTCAGGAGAAGGCACCTGGGTTGGGGTGCATGACATCCTTTAAATTCCGGGAGACTGATTTATCCTAGCTGCTACTGCTGTTTCTGTGTGCAGTGCTTTAGTTTACTGTCACCCGGCACCTTTTTCTGTCTGTGACTTATCTTTTTTCTTTTTTCTTTTGTGTGTGTGTGTGTGTGTGTCTGTGCCTTATCTTTTGTTGGCCTGGACTTTCCCTAAGCACAACTTCCTGCAATCTTCAATAAATGAAGCTGCTTTCCACTTGCTAGTAGGTGTGTACTTGGCAATTCTTTGTTCATTGTACACAAGAGCTTGGTCTATATCAACCCATTTCATGATAACATGACCACTATTTGCTGTAATCCTGAAGATGCTGATATTATTGCTGATTTGTGTTCGAAGAAAGTACCTGAAGCCATATTTTAGGAAATGGCAGGCAGAGATTTGAGCTCAGAGGTCTGACCTTTAACCAGCATTTCCATTTCTCCTCCCAACAGACAGGACCAAGGCCATTACATTAGGTTTCACTTCTTTCCTCGATGCCACTCCAGTCCCCAGAGTCACATCACTCTCTCTCCTCCCACTACCCACCTTGAACTCTAAGTACCTGCTGCTGGTCTTGCCTTCCAATGTGCCTACAGCTCCTCTATTCTGACCTGAATGCCTGTACCTCCTAGCTGGGCCTCTATACCTGCTCTCTGGTCTTTCTGCTTCTAGGTAAAAGCCCAAGACCTCCCCTATCTTTCTAACCACAGGTCCTAGCATTTCTCCCTGTTACTTTCCCTCTTTTTCCTCTTCTGCCTCCTACTCTCCTCCTTCTCATCCCCTCTTCCTCTAGTCCTTCTCCTCCTTTTCCTCCTTTTTTTCTGTGGTACTGGGGATGGAATCTAGGGTCATTGCTCTGAACTACATCCCTGGTCCTCTTTATTTCTTACTTTGAAACAGAGTCTCACTAAGTTGTCTAGGCTGGGATAAAACTTGTGGCCCTTCTGCCTTATTCCCCCAGAGTGCTGGGGTTATAGGAGTGTACCACCATGCCTGGCTCTGAACTGCATTCTTGGAAGTGCTGGAATTTGCCAGCAGTGAACTGAGTGGCTCAGGGCCTTTGAACTGTTATTGTTTTTGTCTAGAATGATCTCCTCCCAGATAACCTCACAACTCACTCTTTTAGTTCTTTGTGCCTTTGCTCTATGTTCCCTGACCTAACAGACCATCACAGACCATCAGTGCCACAAGAACAAGGGCTTGGTTTTGTTCTTTGTCCTGTCACTCAGGTGGCATTTGTTGAATAATTAATTGTAGAACATATGAATAAATATCAAGGAATTTTTTACTAATACAAAAAAAATTAGAAAAGAATATAAAGGTAAGAAAAATAAAATGAATCTCTGGGCAGGTTGATGCCCAGAATGCATTTCTTATTTTTTGTATATATAAATTTGGCTTTTGGCTTCTAATAACCAAAGTGAAATAGTGCTACCCATAGAATTTACTGTCTACAACAAAAACCAAAGTCTGTACACAAATCAAATGTAGCTATTTCTAACACTAAGATATAATGCACAATCAGTTTAATCATTAGTGGATACAAAATGAGAAAATGAATAGGTCTACAATAGTATAATGAATCTCATAAGAGTCTCTGAATCTTGGAAACTGTGAAGTCATGCTTTTGTGTGATGGAAATGCTCTATTTGCTTTTGATAATATCCAGATGTTTACATTAAATATTCATCTAGCTTCCAAACAAAAATTTTAAAAGAGCCGGGCATGGTGGGTGGCATACACCTGTAATCCCAGCACTTGAGAGGCTGAGGCAGGAGGATCACTGTGAGTTCGAGACCAACCTGGGCTACACAGTGGGTTCCAGGGCACTCTGAACTACATAGTGAGACCCTGTCTCAAAAAACAACAACAAAAAAAATTTTAAAAAGAATGATTTTCCTAACATCCAGGCCTTTGTGCATTTCACCCCCAAGCCCTCTGGGCATCGGAGAGGGTGCTTTATATTATTACTGCCAAAGAATTTCATTTCCTTCCTAGGTGACCAACTGGCCTGGTTTTCCCAGGATAGAGATTTACAGAGATGTAGGACTTTCTGTACTAAAACCAGAAAGGCCCAGGCAAACTGGGACAAGAGGGCCACCCTCCCTCCTTTGTCTCTGGTTTGTTGCTTTTGCTCTCTGGATAAAGGTTTGTGAAGAATGGACTACTTTTAGTTTGTGCAGTTGGTAGGATGCAGTGGTAGCTATGGTGAGCTGTTGCTTCTTTTATGAGTAGAATTTGAAATGTGGTAGTAGCATTCTGACCAAGTGTTCAGAAAATAAGCCAGTAAACAGAAGGAATTGTCAGGCCTGTTGGAAATGCAAAGGGTAGAGGTGGGCTCCAGTTAAAGAAGAGCTGTGGCTTGTGGCATCAGGAAGAAACAAGGCCCTAAGAGGCTGGGACAGAAGAGGCAGCATGCAGGGTCATGGGCTGGCTGGGTAGCTATGAGGGGAGGGCCCATTAGAGTGCTCAGGGCTAAGGTGTATGCTGCCTTCCCTTAGCTGTGAATGCAGATAGCCCACCAGGGGTAGGACCAACACTGTCTAAAATCCAACCAGAAATACAACCACACTGCCATCTTAGAGCTTCAAGAAGCATGAGGTGAGGTCACCTTTATGTCTCCAGACACAGGGCTGCTCCATTTCCTACGGTCTCAGGTTCCTGCATGTGACTCACAGTGAAGCCTGGACCTAGAAGTTGTCAAAGTTGTGCTCCTCCCTCTTCAACTCACTTACCTACTTCCTAAAAGCACAGGATAAAGAAGGTAAACATGAACACCTTTTACCATCTTTCAGTCCAGAGATAATGTTAATATTTAAGTCTTTCAGTTTTATTTGTACCCTTATATATTTTAATTTTTAATAGTGACTCTACTTATCTGTACTCAGAGCAATACTGGGGTTTTATTTTCTGAATAAGAGCCTCAGATCTTTCAGAGGTTCTCAGGAATAGCTTTCTTCTTAGTCCTATACAAATTCTGAAAGAAAAAAACAAAACAAAACAAAACAAAAAACAAAATTCTAGTGATCATTTCCCATGTAGGATTTTTATAGTTTGTCACTGTATGCCTTGAGGAAGGACCAGAATGGTTCCTCAGGAACTGGGAATAATGTTTGGGTCTTGAGAGGCTGTAGGGCTGCCCTTCTTATTTCCCTATTATCAGAGGGCTTTCAATCTTCTGACTACCTAGAAGGGGAAATGGCAAGCTATAATGAAAGAAAGGAAATAGAGACTTGCATAATTTCAAAGCACATGGGGGTAAGAAAATCAATGCCTCAGAGTGGGCAAAGACAAGACACTCCCCAGCTAGCCACTACTTATTGGGTACACACGATAATAGAAGGGAGTATCATGTGACTTAGGGGCAGCAATAATCCTATGAGGATCTTATGTCGATGAGGACTTTAGGTTGCTGAGGATTTTATGTTGATGAGAGTGGTAAGGAGAGCATTCTTACAATAGTAGGTGGAACAAGATAGCAGGCTAATAAAGAATTTGTCTTTCCCCCAGATGAAAACTTTCTCTCTTTTTTCTTACTATTTAGTTCTTAAAGAGCCAAGATGTCCTCAGCTGTTGTAATCTTATTCTTGAGTGTCACAGTATCACAGGGCATTGAGGCCTCAGCTTGTGACCAGAGGCAAAATAGAGTTATGTCTCCAAATGCCATAGATGGCTCAAGGGCAAAGTGACATTGGGCCTTAGACAGCTATAGTCATACTTTAATTATGAAATAATTTTTCTAAAAAATTCATGTAGAATGGCTCTTTTGTTTTGACACAGGGTCTCACTGTGTAGTTGAGACTGACCTGGAACTCACTATGTAGCCCAGGCTGGTCTTGAACTCACAGAGATCCTCTTGCCTCAGCCTCCCAAGTGCTGGGATTACAGGCGTGCACCACCATGCCCAGCTAGAATAGCTCTTGATACCCTATCAGCCTTTGATTTTCCAAGGAGACTTTAGACATGTCTCTTTGAGATCCCTTGCAATGAAAGACAGTAACCTGCTTGGGAGTATAGCCTAACTCTAAGAGTTGTAGAATTTCCTGCTTGCGTTTTATAGATGATTGCTTACTAGTCAGCAAGCTTCTTTCCAGTTTGCTGCATAATATGTAGCACCAGAAAAACATATTGGGAGTCTGTTATCCATATTAGTTTCTTGCCTTTTCCCATTATCAATGCCCCATTAGCTATCAGCTCGTTCTTTGAACAGAGGTGCCTGGAGAAGTTGGCATTAATTACCTGTTGTGAACTGACAATATATAACCTGCCTTTTGGTGTCCTTGATAGACAAAGCTACTTCATCAATGAAGCACGCTTCTTTAGTGTTTTGGAGGGTCAGGTAGGTCACTGATGTCCTGCTGCTTGCATAGGAGTCTGGGAGATTACTTGTTCATAAGAATGGCTAACTTCTGTAGGCATCAAACAGGCAGGATTAAGAATAGTGCAAGTTTTTATAATAATGAGCATGACTTGACACTGACAAGCCATTCCCCTGTTAACCACAAGTAACCTTTAATATCAAAAATTTCTCTGACCTGAAAGGGATTCAGGATTTCTAGTTTCTGCCTTAAAGTTAGTCTTTCAGCATCCTCTCTAAACATAACTGTAGATAATATTGCTTTTAGGCAGGGTGGCCATCCAGCCACCACTCCATCTAACTTTTTGAAAATAGTGGACTGAATTCTTGTTTTTGCCTTTGGGCCAAGACATCCAAACCAATTTCTCTATTTTTGATATCTAGAGGAAGAAAGATTTGCTTAAGTCAGATATAGCATGCAATAGAATCCACCTATTGACTAATTAGGTTAGGGAGACCTGGCATAGTCCCAACAGGTAAAATTCATTTTGGCCTTTGCTGGCATTTGAGATTTGACTTCAATTTTGTTGGTAAATCTCTTTCTAGAAAGGGAGTAAACACTGTGGAACAATCAGAAACTCATGAGTAAACATTTGGACTTCAAAGTGACATGCCAGAGCAGGAGTAAAAGAATATACACCTAAGGGTCTCTACAACCCAACTATGGCTATAGATCTAGAGGAGGATTTTCCAGAGAATTAAGTCAAAACAAAAATAAGTAAATGAATGGTGTCTCTCATGACATCCAATGTTACTCAGGATTACCCACAGGAAATAGTAATATCCATGGACCAGGCCATTATAGGTTCCCTTGGGCCTCTTTAGAGCAGGAAACAAGCATTGTGGCTGGCCTACTCCCTCTCAGGGACAGTCAACCTTCCAGTGCCATGAGTTAGACACATTGGCTGCCTCACACTTGAATCAGGGCCTAGGCATTGGCTCAATGAAGTTGTGAGCCCAGTGTGTCCAGTCTTCTTGCACTTGACCATCCTTCAGTTTTCCCTTAGATGATTTGGGTGAATTTAAAGCACTAACAAATGTGACAGCTATGATTCTAGCTTTTCTCCCCCTGCCCTTTGTACTGGGGATAGAACCCAGGACCTTTTGCTTGTGAGGCAGGCATGGTGCCACTAAGGTAAATCCCTGGCCCAAGCTTTTCTCTTTTAACCCTCCTCCGAATTCCAGCTGTTTAACACAGAAAAAAACATTTCCAGCAACTAGGTCATAGGTGTCTGGAGTCCTGTATGAAATTTCTTCATTAAGCAGATGGGAGAGACCCATATCCCCCTGAGAGACAGGTGTGGATTTGAAGACAGGATCATTAAAGACATCTCTCTCTCTTCCCAGGGGCTATTCTAAATATCATAGTTTTCTGGGCTTTTCCTGAGATAAAGAGTTACACAAGCCTCAATATAATGGATTTCCCTCTACCTTCTATGTTATAAACAGAAACAGCTTAACTGAAAAGTACTCCCATAATTTAAACTGCCATCCTGTGTCCATTTCTTGCCATTTCCTACTTCATATTAAACTCAAACCACATTGTAATAGTAGATGAACCTCCTTTTTTAAATTGGCAGGGTCAAACATTTTGTTAGATTTCCCTATTCTTAAGATGGCCATTACTCCCCTTCCCATAATGCACTGCTTCTCACCTAAAAAGATGGCTTCTCCCACCTACAAAGGACAGCTTTCTTCCCATGATGCCTCTTCTCCCAACAAAAAGTAACCAGATACTTGCTATCTCCAAGTAACCAGTGATGTCACAAGCCTCTCCTAGTGATGTCACAGGCTCCTCCAATCCCTTAATACTACCTCACTTAACTCCACCCCAGCTCCTATAAGCCCCACCCAGTCCTATAAAAGAAGTTCTCTGTTCTGCTATATTGCTCTCTTTTGATTTAACACAGCCTGATGGATTGTCCCTACAATAAAGGCTTGTAGTGGTTCTGGTCTGGTCTTGGTTTTTGGCTCTTTTTTGCCTGACACCTTTCCCATTGATCAAGGACATGGCCTAGTGGCAAAGTCAGTGTAAATCACAGGGTACAGTTCATGAGGGGACCTATATAGAAAGACAACTGGGTCTTCGGTCCTTAAGATGGTGGGAGAAGACCTAGTGAGCATTCATGGTGAGACTCAAGTATTCACTAGACAGACATTTCTGTCCAAAGTTAGAATGATGTCAGCATCATTCACAGAAGCATCATTTTGAGCTGCTTGATGACTCTATTTTGGTCTTGGGTTCTTAAAATGCTGTCCCATGCAGTAGTAGATCTGATGAGCCCACAAAGCAGCCCTCGTGAGACTCAAGTATTTACAAAAGAGCCATCTCTGTCCAAAGCTAGAAGGATGCTGTTATCCTTCATAGAAGGGTAGAAAAAAGCCCTACTGAGTGTTACGAAGTCTCCATATGGGGCTCGTTCATTCTTTCAAGAGAGCAGGTTTGTTGGGAGCAATTCTACACAATTTTGGGGAAAAAACCATTTCATAATTAAAATTATAATCCAGCCTAGTTCTCCTGCCTACAGGCCAGCTATGGCATATGGAGACATAACCCCATCTTCGCCTCCCATCACAGCTAAAACCTCAATGGTCCAGTGATGCTGTGATACTCTGAGGCAAGATTAACCCAGCTAAAGGCACCCGGGGAGGAACAAAATCTTCATCTGCATAGTTCCTCATTGTTCTAGGATTTTCACCACAGTTGCTCTCTGAGTCACCTTTAAAATTTGTTACTCTGTATGTACAGAACTCAATATCCTCTGAGTCATCTGTTACATTTGTTTCTTCCAATGTATTGAATAAAGGTGGGGTAAGCTTGGGGTCTTTTGTCTTTGCTGCCCAGAGCAGCATTGATCAAGCCCAAAGCTCCACTTCTTCTCTAAGTCTCATTTTTCTATATTTTCTGTCTAATAAATTAATTCACCTTGTCCAGCCATGGCTCTCAGGAGGTTCTAGTAACGTCCCCTTGTCCTGTTCCCTAAAGGGCTTGAGCTTCTTGATGGCTTTACCTAATTCTTTGAAACTCCCAGGAGATCAAGGTGGTCTCTCCCCACTGAGACTATGTTAGTCACATTGAGCCACTTGATGGCTCTACTTACGCAGGATGGAACCACTTGAGAATCAGTATCTTAGGACTCTCTTAGGCATTTTGAGTCACTTGGTGGCTCTACTCAAGCAATGTAGACCACTTAAAAAACATGTCTTTCATTTACGCTGATAGTAAAAACTTGGGTACTTTGTTTAAGGCAGTAGAGATAGAGAACTTCTTTTTTTAAAGAAAAAAATCTTTACAAATCCTGAGAACAAGGATGACTCTACCTTTGACTCATCACTTGAGTTAAGCTTTACTGGCCATTCTTTTGTTCCAGTTTAGGCTGTCAGGCATATATTACTCAATTACCTCCATTTTGTTAGAAAAAACTAGGAAGGGAAACAAACATGGTGGAACCCATGTGGATCAAAAATGGGCAGAAAGTCACATGACAAGACAAGATGGCAGACAGCCAGGTGACAGGACAAGATAATGGACAGCTACATCACAAGATAAAATGGCAACCTTGACTAAGCACCCTGAGAAAGAAATGTCAATCTAGGGAGAAAGCACAGATGAGACTCTAGCACAAAAAGAACCAAAGTGGGGTAGGTGGGTACTCAGGCTGACTACCAAATTACCAACAGCTATTTTCCCCCAGAAAATTGAGAAAGCTAAGCAAAATATGGAGAATAGTATGCCAGGAGAAAAGGATATGTCCAAAAGGTCTGACTTGCTCTCCTGTTCTAGTGGCAGATTACCAGCCAGAACATACACAGACAGGTAGTCCAGGAGAATGGAAGACACATCCAGAAGTTTTGGAGGCAAAGTGTACAGTTTTATTTTTAACAACAGCAGGTCAGTCTGGGCCTTCTTCACAGAGTCTGACCCCCCCCACACTTTGGGGTTGAGCAGAGCAGGTTATACTCTCAGGAGGGGGTAGGCTTGCAGGAGTTAAGCACTTTTCATTGATTACACAGAATGCAAGTCATTTGGGCCCAGCAAATTCACCAGTGATCAGATATTACAGTCAGCAAGTCCAGTGCACAGAGCCACATCTCAGATTTGGCAGGGAGATAGAAGTAATAAGCCTGAGAACAAAGAAAATTCCTGAGATGCTTAAGAGGAAGTGTCCAGAGCCCAAACACATTGAGGGGAAGGGGGGGAGGATTTTTCCACCAGTAAGTTTGGCTTTCACTGCAGAGAAACACATTCCTTGTTCACTGTTGGGCTAATCCAAAGGTTACTAGGTTTTGGGGTGCTAGAGTCTCCTGGGGGCGGTTTTTAGGTTCTTTCTGTTGTGAGCAAAGAATTGGCTAACACAAACACAGATGACAGAAAAGTTTTATTAAAGGTAGGAAAATAAACAGGCTCTGCAGATTGAGTTTGGGCCATGTACAAGTGAGAAAAGAAATATATAGTATAGCTCGAGAGTGGGGCATCATGCAAGTGGGAACAGAGTGCAAAAATTCAATGTGGAGCATCTGTTTTGTATTATCCAGTCTTCAGGTTTATATCAGGTATAGGCAATTATATCAAAAACCTCTTTAATTCTCATGAGAAGTCCATATGCAGGGCTTTTGGAACTCTTCTGCACATGGGTCTTGGGATTATGTAATTAAAAGGTCATGCCTACTTTCCCAGTCATCTTTGCCTTGCCCTAATCTCCTGTTTTAAAATGATCTGTTTAAGCATCTCTATATTGGGGATTTTACTTCTTTCTAACTTTAAAATATTAATACAAAGCTGCACCCTGTATCCTTGAGAAGATCTCTGCTCACCTCGTCATCATTTACTCAGTTCTAGGAGTAGATAAAGGAAGACACATACTAAAGGCTCTTATGACTTTGACAGATTGTTTTCCAGAAAGGTCCAAGCAGTTCATGTTCTTGCCCTCAATGAATGATAAATTCTTTTGATCTTTGGTGATTTAACCTTCTAATTTGTGCCAGTTACATATTATCTTAAAATATTTGCCAATTTGATAGGTTGAAAATATATCTTAATTCACATTTTTTGATTAGTAGTTTGTTGATTTTTTAAAAATGTAGCTTTTTGTGTTAGTTTTGAGTTACCAGAATGAAATAAAAGGAAAATAAATGGTTTTAGCTCACAGTTTTATAGGATCAAAATCAAGGTGTTAGGGAATTCAAGTCTACCTGCTCACCACTAGAAAGATAATACTTGGGAGAGAAAAGTTGAGGGGGAAGAAATCAGGTTTTTATCAAAGCCCAGCACTCTGAAAAGATGAAGGGACTATTGTTCCCTACCGCCGCCCCCCAAAAAAAACTATTTTAGGGAACTAAGGTATGTGAAAGGGTTTTTATAAGTAGAGAGAAGTTTAAGGGGAAATGGGCAGGAAGATTACATGCTGGGGAAGTCTTATTCATCCAGGGTATGTATCTACTTTTTGCCCCCTCTGGCTCAAACACTGCAGTCAATTTTGACTTCCTGGGCCTAATTTCTGTAACTCTTTTGATAAATATTTATCTGCAAATTAAACCTCACAGCATAGTTGCATAGAACTAAAGAGTAATTAGATAAGAATGGGAGGTTCACATTCTGTTCTTATCTGAAGGTCACCAGCTATTCTGGGTTCTGTGAATCTAAAGAAAGATTAGTTATCCCTTAGCATCTTAATCACATAGATGTGGCCTTTCTTTGGAATTCAGAATGCTGGGCAAAGGGGAGGGGAATAAAAGTGCTTCTGTCAAGGACAGCTCAGGATGGGGCAGCCTTTGGCCCTGTTACAGAGGGGCCTACTGATCTGGATCCTGGGAGGGGAGGAAAATGGCAGCACAGTCACATCTAGAACAAGACAGAGAAAGAGGCTTGGCAGTACAAGGCTTGCACTTCTTATGACCATCCTCATGTGGGTCAGAGAAGCACAAGAAACATCAAGGGATTCCACAGAAATATTTTATCCCAAGTGACCTAAGGACTCCTGCTATGCCCTGCCCCCAAAGGACCTAGTGAGGCAGGGGTTTAGGGTGTGGACAGCCATCTGGGCAAGTGGGCATGACTGGTCAATCATGGAGATCCAGGACACATGTACAGAAGCTCTGCACCTGAGACTAATCAGAAAATGTTGTCTTCTGGTCTGAGATCAAGCAGGTTTTTGATAGGACAATCTAGCCTGAGGAGTGGGAGATAAAAAAGATGTTGACCATTAAGCTTGTGGCCACTGTACTTTCTCTTCTCAGTGGCCTGTTCTCACTCTGCAGAGCATACTTCTTTTCTTGCCTTTCAAAAATGTAAAACTTGGCTACCTTTTTTGCTTGTCTTGTCCATTTCTTTGTTCAAGACATAAAGACCTCGGAAAGAATCACTGAGAAATGTCCACAACACCTCAGGACTCGTTGCACCACCACTTCCTGACAGTGCAGTGGCAGACAGGTCTTCAGTCACAGTGGGCCTTGAGGGGTACCCACCCTGCCCTTGAACCACAGTGTCTTAGTTACTTTTCTTGTTGGTGAGACAAAGTACACAACACCTGAAGTTAGAGGAGAAAAGGTTTATTTGGCTCACAATGTGTAGAGGTTTCAGTTCATGGTTGGCTGGCTCCAAGGCAGGGTGGCCTGGTGCTGCTGCATCACAGAGAAGCAGGCAAAAGACAGTAAGCAACAAGTGCAGAGCAACAAGTGAAGAGTGACGAGCAAGGATGACAGCAGCCCTCATATTTTATCTATC